ATCTTCTAACTCTGAGCTCCAAACCAGTATCAATATATAACTCTCACTTCATTCCAGAATATGTCCTTCCAATATAGAATTTCAACATTCAACTCTCAGCTCCAAAGCAGAGGGTCTGAACCTATTAACTTCCACTTCATTCCAGAATATCAATGAACAGTAATGGTTCAAGATAGCAGCTGATGTTTGTGTTCCCTAAGTAAGATATACTGTATTTTTCACTTATTACTTACATTAACAGTATTGTTATACAAGTTAGTATATCAAATATGATTACCTTTTCTCTTGATCACCCTCTGGTGGTTTGCTCATTATACTAATGTGCCCTCTGGTGCCATCTTGTGGCACTAGCAACAAGATCTCTGTTTACTAACACTCAAGTTATGATGTCATGCCTAGCAATGCATTCTCTGGCAGCAGGTAACTTTGTCATCAAGAGTCATGGCAGCATGACAACATTTGCCAGTCACTGTGGCCTAGAAACTTTCCCCGAGAAATGCCCCATCTGATTCCACTTCATAGAACTGTGACCTCATCATCTCTACCCTCCCCCTGAGGCAGCCAATCAGTATGTGTCTGAACAATCAATGTAACTACTTATTTTCATAAACATTTGTTTTTGGTTGTACTATAGGCAAAATCCTGTTACTTGAATTGACACAGTCTAAGCCATAACATGTATCATAGTAAATTTGCCACAGATGCCATGCTCTTCCAAAGTTTCACTGTCAAGAGTTTTTCATTGGTCAAAGGATATGTCAGGGATATTTGAGGATATGTCAGGCATGTTATATTGATGCTATATTTTAAAATGAAAATTAATTCCATGACAGTATTTCAAACCAACAGATAGTTTCCTAAGTCAGACATACTATATTATTTCTTTACTCTTAGTTTTTTTATCATTATTCATCAGATTGTTAAAATATATCTAATGTTTGATAGGTTGTTTAGGCAGAGTATTCATAACGAATCTAAGTTTCAAATGGACAGCAAATGCCTGTTGTAGAAACCTACAAATGTAGAGGACGACGTTTCGAAAGTCTTCTGCCTTTCGTTTTCAGGTCAGTGTGTGTGTGGTGTAGTTTGGTCTTTATAGTGTTCTAGTGGATTGTTATGATTGGTTGGTTAAAACACGTATCTGATTGAAGGAGAGACTTCCTGTATCCTCAACCAATGGTAGCCACAGTTTACTCACCTCTAATCCTGAATCTCTGTTTAGTGAAGGTTTTATTGTGTTAATGTAAAACGATTCTTTAATTTTTCTTGCCTTCCAAAATTTGTCTCTGTTGATGATTCTAGCTTTTTCCCAGTTTATGTTGTGTCCAGTTGACATGGCATGTTCAGCAATGGCTGAATTTTGTGTTTTCATGAGTCTTGTGCTGTCTTTATGTTCCTTTACTCTTGTCGCGAGTCTTCTTCCCATTTCTCCAATGTACGTTTTGTTGCAGGAACATGGAATTTCATAAATCATTTTTTTCTGTTTGTTGGTAGGTTTCTGTTTGTTCTTCACCAGAATGGATCTTAGTGTTTTGTAAGATTTCCATCGAACATCTATGCTGAATTTCTTAGCTTTTCATTTGAGTTTTTCACTGACATTTTTCAGGTATGGGAGGTATATGGTTGTAATGGTGGTGGTTTCTTTATTTTCTTTTCTGTTGTGGTCTTCTTCAGGGAGTTCTTGATGAAG